CTTTTAACTATTTTAGTTATTATTTCGGGTTCGTCTTCCTCGATTATTTCTCTTCTAATTATTTTAGTTATCATTTCTGATTCACTTTCGTCTTCGGTAACGTCACGTTTCACGATCTTCCTCGTTACAGTTTCTTTCGTAGACATTTCTTCGGTAACTTCTGATTCTTCTGGTTCGATTATTTCTCTTTTCGTGATAACCTTGGTCACAATTTCCGGCTCCTCCTCCTCCTCCTCGTGTTCGACAATTTCACGTTTGATTATTTTTCTGATAACACGTACATCTTCTTCTTCTTCTTCTTCTTCTTCTTCTCGTTCATCTTTTTTCTCAGGGGGAATTACCTGTTCGCCGATTCTACTTTCCTTCAATATTTCAACTTTTTGTATAGTTATCTCGCCCTTAGAAATCATCGTTTGTTGTTTGTCGGGTGATACTCGTTCAACCGATCTCATTCCCTTATCGGTTATTCTTTCAACGGTAGAACCAGTTGGTTCGGAAGTTGAATCAGGTGTACCGTCACGAGTGGCAAAATCAGGAGTTGATTTCCCGGACAACGTTGTTATATGTGTCGTACGAATTTCCGTCATTCCGCCAACGAAAGCTTTGTGGAATTGACTCTCGTATTCTAACGGATAACCACTTGGAATAGATTTGTCCATTTGTCTACCAGTTGATTCAGTGTATCCACTTAATCTGTATTCGCCAGACATTTTTCTATCCGAATCGGTTAATCCAAGTTCTGACGATTTTTCATATCGATATTCGAATTTACCAAAACTTTCAGGTTCGTCTTCTTGATAAATGTCAACGTCGATTATTGATTCGCGTATTAATTTTCTTTTAATAATTATTTCTTCGATTATCTCGAGAATAATATATCGCGGTAATGAAGTCCTAATGATTATTTCCTCCAAAATGATTTCGGTAATTTTTCGTCCCTTCTTTATATATTCATTTTCAAGAAGTTGTTCGATTTCCGTACGTTTCTCATCGGAAATAGTGATTTCTTCGTCGATCTGTGGTTCAGAATGAAGCGGACTATCCTGAGTGGACTTGTCCGAAGGTATTGGTTCCGAACTCAAACTTGGACTCTTCGAATCACGTCCACTCTTGTCGTGTTCTTCATCTTTTTCTTTCATCTTGGCTAATCCTTCATCTTCCCACGTTTTCCTTAACGATTCTTGCAAAACTTCTGTATCCATGATGAAACCACTTGGAATCTTTTTTCTGACGGTTACCTCTTGGATTATCATGATGAGGATTTTTCGTGGAATACCTTTTAATATTGCTATCTCGTCTAGGATAGTACTAGTGATCTTTTTATTTTTATCGATGTATTCGTTGATTATATAATTTTCAACGTCTCTGATCTTTTCGGTAGATACCATTTTTATTTCCGTTCCTTTTGACTTAGACTTTTCAAAAGATTTTTCATCGGCATCTTCATCGACAAAGTCCAATACCGATTCCTTACGAAGATTTTTACGTTTCAATATATCTTCTATAATGTCCATTACTGTAAATTCTGGTACAGCGTAAGATAAGACGATTATTTCGATCGCTGACATCGTTATTTTTTGTTTCTTGCTTAAAAATTCATCGACGAGATACCTTTCGATGTCTGCTTTCTTTTCGGCAGTCACTTTAATGACAGAGTCTCCTTCGTCTTCAAATTTCTCGTCTTTAATAATTTGTTTACTATCAGTATCTTTAGTTTGACTAACTTTTCTCGAATAAACTTCTTCGAATTCTTCGTGAATCGAACTGGTAATACCAATTTTGCCACTCTTTCGTCTATCCTTTTCCATCAAATATTCTTCTTCTTCTTCTTCTTCTTCTTCTTCATCTAATGGTGTTTTCTTTTCTTTTTCGTCGTAAGTAGTTTTTGCATCTTCCTGAAGATTCAATTTGTCTGGTATCTTGTCTTCGTACAAACTTGCAGCACGAGAACGAGTCAATGGTGTTTTGTCACCAGATTCGAACAAACTATGAGATCGTGATCTGTCTTTTGGAATGTTTTCGTCAATATCGTCTTTTTCTTCTTTCACACTACCAGTCGGCGATTTGATCGAATCATCCGCATCAGGTGAAATTGATTTACGCAATTTTCCATCCTCTGGAGTAGGGGATCTTTCTCTTCTCATACTTTCCGGAGTAGGCTTCGCACTCTCCGGCAAATGTGATTTTTCTGTGTCTGTTAGAAGGGATTTATCTTTTTGTAACACTGGTGAAGTAGATTTTTCTTTTTCTAGCATTGGCGATGGTGATTTCGGTTTCTCAATCTCTGGTGATGCAGATTTTTCTTTCTTCAGTGCTGGAGATGGTGATTTTTCCTTTTCTGGTACTGGCGAAGGCGACTTTTGTTTTTCAACTTCAGCTACTAATAATTTTTCCTTTTCTGCTA